CTGGGCTCTTAATTGCCAAGGTTCAGAATTAAGACAATTTGAAAGTTTTCTTTAAAAATTCAAGCAGTTGACAAAATACTATACTGAGCCATGGTCTGCAGAATCCCTGTACAAAGCCATCCTGTGCTTCCATGGAAAAAGGAAATAAAGTTCACTTCCACAGAGAAGAGCAGGTAGCACGTTACCAGTGAGCGTGTATGAGCAGTACGGAGAACACAGGGGAAAACATTTTCGACTACGGAGGGTACGCAGGAGACACAAGAGGAGGAAAATCTAGGATTTGTGCAAATTGGAGAAAAAGTACATTCTTGTTCCTCAGAAAGTTCTGCTGCACCAGGAAAGCAGTGTCAGCATCTCCCACCTCACCTCCCACATCACACAGCTTTGCAACACAATCAGGAAATGCCTCCTGCCTCGCACCATCATTCGCTCGGCGATTAGTAAACCTGGATAACTCTCCGTAGAACTTGCACACAACTCCTCAAGAGCTGAAAAGTAGCTATCGACGTTTTTATTTGGTAACGAACAAACTTGCAGCTACAGAGAAGACCAAGGCAGGCACGCTTCCCACGCGGCGGCACAAGCGCCACGCTTTCTCAGTGTTCCCTCTTGCCTCCAGGATAGGGCCAAAGCGCTTGTGGTTGTTTCACTATGGAAATGGCAGCATTACTCTAGCCAGCACTGTCAGCTACAGGGCTCCCCAGTTAGCCCTTAGGTATATGACACTAGATTTTTATATCCCAACCCGTAAGTGTATACCAATACCGCATACTCCCTATTAGACCAAATTCACAGAGATCATTTTAGGAAGTTCAACAGCTTTTAACTTTTTTTAAACCTATCAGCACAATGCTTCCTTTGTGACCTAAAACGTCTGTAAGCATTTCCCTTGAGAAAAGTGCTGAAATTAGTTTAAAACATGCAATTATCTTCCCTTCTATAGCATAGAAAACGTCAGCCATTTTTCAGCAGCAGCACATTTTCGAAGACTGGGGAAACTCCATTATTAGAGAGTGTTTATCAGATACAAAGTAAAGTTACCAAGGGAAAAATATACACACAAGTTTCAGCAGAATATATGACGCTGACAAATCAGTGAAATCAAATGGCCAAATAGGATATGACACGTTCATTTTCTTCGTAATAGTAAAAGGCTTTAAAAAGGTGATGAGTAGCTGCTTTTTATTTACAAATTATACTAGGCAGCTGAATGTAATTCAGCACATTTCAAAACATGCCAGAACGATTATGCAACTGTATCAGAGCAGCCTGTTTGCTAGTTTTCTGTTTGCAATGGAAAGAAAACTGCCCTTAAAACAGAACACTGTAGGCATAGTTAAGTTTCTGAAACACTTGCAGCGACAGGAGAAGCTGCCTCCATCCCTCCACTATGCTCTAATAGCCGTTACAGCCACGTGCGCCTCCCTGTCCAAGTGCTCGCACTGCTAAGTGCAGACTTTAGTAGTTTCAAGCATTCTCTTACACACTGCTTTTTTCTGCCTCATTTTGCTTTACATAAAGTTAGGCCATGGGTAAGTGTCTCTGGAAATCCTGCCTCTGCTTGCATTTTTCTACAGGTTTAGACTGCTGCTTGGACCTGTAAAGACCACAAAAACATCCATCGTCCGTACAGACATCAAAGGCATCACACAGATTTTGAACGTCACTGAAGAGAGCTGTCATCAGCTCAGAGCCAGGAATTAAGGCATCTCTGCATACTGGTGCTTCTGGAACATGCCCTAGGGCAGTAGGGCACACATACTATGCCTGACGGCTCACATACCGCTTACATAAATTCAGGAGTCTGCTTCAGGAACCAAAGAGTTTAGTGTGTTATGTTCACTGTTGCAGGAATAGCAAATCTACTCATTCGCTTTTCTGGATGTGCCCTAGGATCAAGAATCAGGAACGTCCGTGTTTAAGCCAGTTGCCACTAGAAACTTAGTCTGGACAAAGACACAAGGCTCCTACTGAGAAGAGGATAAAGTCCAGGTGACAAGTCCTTTCGCTCAGAGAGCTTGCCTTAATGCCAAGCTCAAGACTGCAGAACGCAAGACTCAGAATTTCAGATAACAGCTAACTCACCTTTCCTGATTTTATTACTTTGCTGGGTGCAGGTCACATTCCTTCCCAACAGTTTGCACCAGTCTCCTCTCGTTTTTCAATACCTCACCCAAATCAAGCTGCCACAGGCAACACGCTCTGCAGCCAACTCATTTGCATTTTGAATTTAAAAAAATGCATCGACTGCAATATTAGCCTGCTATACTGTTGCATGATGGTGTTTACACCCATTGAAAAGGTGTGTTGATTTGAAGGTAAGATGCAGGATGCTTTTTTTCGTATTGAAACAGCAGTTAAAAGAGTGACTGGCTCTTCAGTTGAGTTAGTTTCCAAACGTTAGAAGAAAAAAAAAAAAAGATATGTTGAGCTTAAAATGTTTTGTGACTTAAACTTATCTTCAGAATATTTTTTAAAGATAAAAACCTAAATAGACCTCCAAATGGAACCCTTCATGAATATAAACATGTGGGTGTTTCTACTTTTTTCCTTTATTAATTTGGTGAAATTGAAAACCTTAATCATTGACTGTCACAAATCTGCATTCTTGGGCAGTTTCTACATTCCATTGTTAACATTCCTTCTTTCTCACCCTCACATTTTGTTAAATCCATGGCGTTGACAATCCGTCAAACTTTCTGTGAAAAGGCTGGAGCGCTGAAGGTAAAGAGCAAGTGATCTTTATGCCATCCAAAAATCAGTCTTTAAAACACATAGTTTTATCCAACTCCTTCAAACCAGTAGATTTACTTTGTAAAACACAGACGCCACCAGTTCTTCATTAAATACAAATCTTACTTTCTTCCACCCTCACTGGAGATTTCTGTTACATCTTGTAGAACAAAATTAGGCAAATAGTTTATTCACTTTTTACTACCGCGCTCTCTTCCCTCACACGTGAAGGAACGCTGCCATTACATCCCACCCTCTAATCTCTTGTTAACGATCATTTAGTCCAAAAATTTAGTATGTGATCTCTCCTTCCTGGAGTTCACAGAAACGGCTATAATCATAAGCAGCCTGGAAGTGACCACTTTCAGCCCTGAGTTACACCAACAAATATCTTACAGAGTGCACCAAGAACTTGTACGCTAACGCAAAGACAGGCCTCTTTTCCACCAGGCTTACTGCTCACGTCAGTGCCTGAAGGACTGTATCCATCTGAACCACCTCAGATGGAACAAGCAGCAAAAAGGACATTAGCTGGCTTACTTGCCTTGCACTTTCCATTACATCGCGGTTAGATTCAGAAGGGCTAAGAAAAGCGTACTATCAGTTGCTATGCAGCGTTACTAATTCTGCACAAATCTGGAAGAACACACACAAGACAAACTTTACATCTCGAGTATTACAGACAGAAACCAGCGCTAGATCAGCCTAGATCAACTCATGTGAAACAAAGCAGAATTTTAAAAAGAAATAAAGTAGCTGAAACCTTGCTGAAGAATAGTTACTGCTGCCTGACTTAGACCTCTCACTTCACCACTGAGTCTTCTTCTAAAAGCTCTGTTCTGAGTCAAAAGTTAGAAGTCTGACCCACAGAGCACTTTGTGAGACAACCTGGCCAGATAATTGCAATGGATTGCAGCAGGCCTAACCTCAGCTTCCTGCCTGGCCTATTGCAAGGTACCTCACATCAAAGCTTGCCTTGAATTCTTTGCTGGGTAGGAACATCACACTGAGTCTTTCTTCAGTAACATTTATCTTCTTGAAATCAGCCTTTTAAAAAACAAAGAAAAAAACCCTCCCAAAACACAGTACAGATTAAGTTTGTATCAGGAAGAGTGGAGTACACAACAATTTTTCATATTCCAGAAACTTCTGCTTGACTTTCTACAGCAATGAAGAAGTTCTTGTCAGTGATATAGCCTGTTAAAATCACCTACTAATCACTCGTTTAAGATGAAGATTGTTGACCTTTTCCCTTAGATCTAGATTAAGATCGAAACAAAAATAGAAACGCATATGCAGAAGACTTGCAATTAAAAGGTGACCTTCCTCGCCCCCATTCCATTCCCCCCATCCATTTGCATGGGGAAAAATTGCAACTCTAGACACAGCAGAAAATTACTTTTTTTGATAAGCAGAACGAGTATACACAAAGACTCCAAACACATTCATTCTAACTGATGGGAAGACGACCAAAAACAATAGCCCGGAGCAAACTGCTTCCCCACCACAGCAGAGTTGCTGTAGACTGACAGCATTCTTCTTGCCACTGCTTAGCCTTGCCGAGGAGAATCGTGGCGCAGAGCAGAATTGGGAAACTCCTGGCAGTGAAAGCAGGAGTAAGCGTTTAATGCAAGTCAATACTCTAGCACAATATACAACACCATTCTGAGAACTCGTTATCTTTCACAGCGTATGTAAAAGGCAGGTTTTTATGTCCTCCATTTTGTATGACAAAATATCTTTTTTCCTTTGATTGCTAGAAAAATATTCTCGGCCGGTTTCACTGACACATCTGCAATCGCTCGCCTCTAATGTGCATGTAGTTAACTATTTTAAAGCAAGTACGATGAAATAGCTGGTTTCAGTTTACACCTTTGGAAAAAAAAGGTGGGTTTATGTACTAAAAGATAGGATTAAAAGCCTGTCTGGACAACGTCCTGGACAATCTGGTCTGAAGTCCATGCTGACCTTGCTCAGAGCAGGAATTTGGACGAGACGACCCACCAAGGTTCCTTCCAACCTGGATGATCCTCTGATATGGATCGCTCTTCATACTCATAGAAACTTTTCATAGTCACGGAAATTTTAAAAATACAAACTAAAAATTGAATATTTTACTCCTGTTCTTGAATGTAGCTTAACTGGACATGCTGTAGTCTTTAGAAATTTCAAGACTTAAAAAAAAAAGCCACTGGAAAATCTATACAAATACCACGTGGATCAGGATCCCTCTAGAAGCCTCTTTAGTGAATTACTTCTTCAGAATATTTACCATGTATTTTCCACTTTATTTGATTGATTCCATTCTATACACTGAATTTGCAATTAACAATATTTCAAAATAAAACCAGTTCCCAAGTTCACTATACTTTCCAACACTTATGCATTTAAAATACACGAAAGTTCGTTTAATGATAGCAAAGCAGACCTTCAAATGATATCGTTGGAAGGTATGAACAGCAACACCTTTTCATTATTTTGCCATGACTGTTTTCCATAAATGGAGACTGCTATACAACGCTTAAAGATAGCTAAATGCACATCAATTTATAGTATTCACAGAGATAAAGACTTGCCACATAGAAGTGTGAAGATGACAACAGTCTTTCATATAATTTAAAAGTGATTCTCCACACACTTCTTGTACTTGCTAAGATCATTTTCCCTCCAAGCTTTCATTAAATTCACCGATGAAATCAAAAATTCTGTTACTGCTTGTAAGTTATTTAGAATGAGCAAAACTCATTTTCAGACGGAAAGTCTTGATCTACTGGGGAAAGAGGGCAAAGAGTAGTACATTTCAGTAGTCAGCTTACATGTTAACAGACTTAATTCGGCTTCACAAAGTATCCAATCCAATAGAGATTTTAAATAAGGGACATCAGTGCTAAATCATAAACAGACATTATATATATAGCTATTCAATACATGTGTACATACCTCTCCAATCTAACAAAAGAGAAACTTTAGAAAATGCCAATTAATCTTTTATGCTTTCAGTATACTTTGAACACTGATACTAAATCCATTTGCATGATTATTCTACTCTTATACAACGTGCCAGAGTAAAACTAAACTCTCAAGCTCTGAGTGGAAAGCTGACTAAAAATGATACTTATACATGCATGTAATCAGCTTCTAATTCTCTTTAGTCACGCACTTCAGTTACTGTCAGCCCTGCTAACAAACTGCAAGACAACCAAGCTCTGCATTCTGCTTAACTTTGTCCAAAACCAAGTTTTTGTTGCAGAGTATTTTGTTGAAAGCAAAGGACTTCACCTCATCTTCTCCTGCCACGCTGCAGCAGTGAATGCAAGAAAAATCTTCTGTGTATCTGGAAATTATGACATTTACATCTAGTCAAATTTTACGGTTTCCATTTTGCTCACAGCTCCCTCAACAGTGATGGTGAAAACATTTTTAAAATAAGATCAGTAAACCCATCGGTCTCCCACTTGCAAGTTCTACAACTTATGCAAACAAATCCTTTGAACCGCCTAGCAGTCCAAATTAAGTATCAGATACAATGTTTATAAAGCAGAGATGAAAAATTCCTATCCATTCCTCATGCCAGTTAACTGGTAAGAGGCAAGATAAAACCTCATTCCAACCAGAATCTGATTCCCTTCTGTATGACCACACATTGGTGTTAATCATTTTAAGTATTATTTTTTCAATGACATTTAGGAATTTAAATTCCAATTTTTAAAACAAGTTCTTTTACAGTGTAGATAGAATCCATAGAGTGTATTCTTCAGTGTCATTTCTAAGCCGCTTTTAACAATAATTAAGTCGGGAAATAACTAGACCACTGTGCTAAACCCACACTTGAACAAGTTAAGAAACATTTTGAAGCAGTGTAGAGTAAATAATTTTGGTGAGCTGTAAAACAGCTACATGCAAGGTATACTGTACTATAACAGCTCCAAATCCTTTATAAAAACCTAGCATTCCCTCTTCCCGTTTTATAGTATTTATGCAGTCTCTCATGCCTTCGTACTGAGTGTTGATGGGAAGCACTTCATAGCCAAGGTCTGTGTTGTCAATTATCGTGCGTGTCCCTTGAATATGAAGGCGATGTAAAACTGTCTCCAGAGGGTAAAGCATGACATCAGCACAAAGGCTAGCAGCAAAGCTAGCAATAAGTTCTGGAAAATATGCATCCAGCATGCTCTGCACAGAAGTGGAGCTCTCTGTTGGGAGGTTGTGGGCATTCGCCCTTTTCAGAACAAACAAAACAAGCTTCTGGACGATGGAACTGATGACGTAGTGAAGAACTCCGTGTAGAGCAGTTGGAAAAGTCAACACCATTAGAGGAAGGAGACGCTTGCTATGGGGTACTCCCATGCCTACAACTCTGCCGATCCCTTCTTTCACGCAGTCCAGAATTCCAGGATTATCTCGAATGATTTCACTCTACAAACACAAGGGAATAGTTACAACCTGTGCAGCTTGTTTCATAGCCACAGTGACATCCACTTCAACTTTCTGTTTACCTCAGCTCGATTTTTTTCACCTTCATAAGATAGTTACCTATTTATATGCTACTATATCTAAACAGCCATACTGATGTTACAAATTCATTGCTCTAATACTCTCAATAATGTTCAAGTAAACTTGCTTTTAAGAGTGAAGCTATGCTTAAGCATCTTTCATTTAATCTATACTCCAATTACTTGTGTTACTACCAAGATATTAAACTTTCAGCATATGACAAAAAGTAGCAGTTTCCACAACCACCATTATGTACCGAAATGCCTATTTCAGAATCCAAATGCTAGGAAGAATTTATCTAATTCAACAATCCTGTTCTTTAGGGATTATAACTGAAGTCTTTGAACTTTGATGGGCATAATATAAAGATTTCCATAACTAAATTTAAGATAAATGATCATTTTTACTTGGAATGGAATAGGTTCAGCTATAGATATTTTCATTCCATTCTTAGTGTCTAAAAATAGCACTCTTTGCTCATGCTGCTTCTTAGAAAAGATAACTATTTTTTAATGAAAAAAATCACATAGTAATTCTCTTGCTGTATTCTGCCTATGGCTATGGGACTAAGACATTTTTCCCTTTCTCATGCTTATACAGATTTAATGTTTCATCAGCACCGTTACATCCAAACTTAATGATTTGGGAGTTCTTCTCAGTGCCCAAGTCCTTCTGTTCATGTCAGCTGCGTCCGGACCACATGCCAGGATGAGACCGTAACATTCCCCATCCTTGGGAAAACGGCCTGCAAAGCCCTCGCAACTACTCTACACAGAACAGAAACTGGTTCAAATACTTGAAAATAATTTGCTCTTCCTGACTCCAGGCATAACTATTGCATTACAACTGCAACTGAGCCCTCATCTGCCTCATATCGTTACAGCTGCTGCACTTCAAAGCTACACTTAATTTTGTCAAACATGCCACCGTGTGGTTTGAAATATTAAAGATGAAAACAAAGTAATGTGAAAGCTACATCCAAATAACTTAAGTGGTAGAAATTTGCAGTATACTTACTTGGAGAATATATATATACTTATAATATATACTTACTTGGAGATATATATGTGTGTGTGTGTATATATGAATTATATTATATACAAGAAGTATCAAATTAACAATGTTGAATAGTATATCTAATCAGAATTAAGATATTCAAATAAAGTTAATATAAAAAGCTATTAGTAACAAGACCCATAATCTTTAACACTACAGTTTTCAGTTGCTCATTGCCCTCTTGCAGTACAGGAATATAATGTAAACCTGTTAAGTCAAGTTGCTCCCTTGCACTGATTGATACGGCATAAATAAAGTCTTGACAAATGCTCATATTACTTCTGTTGTGTTTCTAATAAAATCTATGATGATGTTTTGAGGAGCTGGAGAATACATTTCATGTTATAGATTTACATTCCGTAAAGCACTCACACATAACTGAGCTCACTAAGCACCACGTCCACAACTAGTCTCTGTAGCCTAAAATCCTCTAAATTCTCACGGAGATTACTTTCATAAATAACTCTTTACAAACGTAATCACTTGTTTAAAAGGCTGGGGGAGAGGCTGTTGGGTTTGGTTTTTTTTTTTTTGCTTGTTTTTTTAATTAAGATGCTATGTAGCACAAATAACTTACATATTTTGCAAATTAAGACTGGATTTAAATCATGTCTTCTTCTACCATTTAACGGTAAGTATGTTCCCATTTCCAACCACACATCCTTCCAGAAAAAAATATATGAAATGACAATACCTGAAACAAAACATCCCCTTCTGTGGCCACCTGACTGCCACGAACTCAAGAAACTACAACAGTTTTCTGTTACTGTTTCTAGTTCCAAGATCTTAATAACATGCTCAGCCCTGTCCCTAGGATATGACAGGGCTTCATAAGTCAGCTTTCTATCGTCAAACTGGTTAAATCTCTCCACCGCTTCCATGAACTCTCAGAGATCCACACAGGCTGGATTTCTGGAATGTTATTTTCAGAATAATTCAAATAGAGAGAAAGAGGAAAGGTTCTTAAAAACTTAAAGAATGTGAGCTTGTCACTAAGACTCTAACTATAGCCACCCACCTTTAATCTCACCCATTCCGTTAGTCCAAAATATGGCCGCTTCAGGCAGGACAGCCTTTGTACTGCCTTTTGGCTCCTTGGAATTTGGATCCTTTGCATAGAGCAGAATCCAGTCCCTGCCTCTAGAGTACATGCTGGAACTAAGAAGCTGTAGAAGTCAGCCTTGTTTGCCTCTTGCCCTTACAGGCTTTCATGCAGAAAACCCATCAACAGTTGAACTAGAAGTTTAAACAGTTGGCTCTAAATCAGGACTTACAACTTGTCTACACTGTGAATGAAAATGATTTTAAATGAGTGACAGACATGAGAACGACTGTTTTGCACTATCCTCCATGTAAGAGTTCACTTCACAGTAAGAGTTCCATTAGCTGCTCAAAGATGCTTTCACATTAATTAAGAGAAACTCATTATATGGAACTAGCTGGAAGAATAACCCTGGGCTACTTCCCCATAGTTACGCTCCCTCCGTCTGCTTCTTCACAAAGGGATGCAACAACTCACCTCACTGAAAGATAATCTGCAATACAGTGCTGTACGTTACTTTGTACAGTAACAGAGCAAGTTAAGCTATATCCTAGTGACATATCCAGTTTTTCCTGAAATTCATTTCCATGGCTAAGGAAGAACTACATTAAAATTTAAAAGCAGAAAGTTGACCAGATGAAAGTAGCCCTGGAATAGTTGAGTTCAATATTTTAACAAAACAGAGCTGAATTATTACAAAACCCTTACAGTTGGTATAGGGGTAGAGTCACTGCAATAACTATTCTAGGAGCCTTTTAAAGCCTTTACATGACAAAGACTTGTTTATCCAAAGATGGTTTATCTGCTACAGAACATCTAGCTGTAACTTGTTCTCATTTTACAGATAATGCATTCCAACTCTGTCAAATGTCCTCTCCTATCCTAGGTTACTACTTAAGATAGTACAACTAATATACCCATTGTAATAAATACTTTTCTTTTTATCTAAGTTCATAAGCCATGCAGCCTCAAGCAAAACGAATATAACTGCTGCAACATACACCTGAATCCAAAGCCAAGGACTCACTTCTCCACTTAATCTAACCTATAAAGAAAAGGACTGTATCTTTTAAAATATTGTAAATATATGTAAATTACCTGCACAGTTTCAATCAGGCTTGCAGAATAAAAAGGCATCGCTATCACATGTGTTAAGCTGCAGAAATTAAAAAAAAAAAAAAAAGAATTAAGGCTTGACAATACTAGAGTATTAGCCAAATCTGTAACTGAAAGTTGACACAAGTCATCTATCAAATCGTGCCTGAGGGAAACTAACAAACCATAACTCAGTTACTAAAGCGTACATTAAAAAAGTCAAGATACGCTTCAGTCTGAACTTCAGTAAGCATTAAATTCTATTTCTATTTGACTGGATCAATTGGAGTTTCACAGAAATCAGAATTTAATCATTAAAAAAAAAATGATCTTTTAAATCAGTGAGGCTCCACACAGACAAAGGGATCTAGTAACAAAAATAATTTGTGAAACTAGCACATACAATTAAGGTTGTTCACAAATCAAATTATGAAAATTAGCATTAGTACCCTGTCAAGTAAACATAGCTGCAGATTAAACTGCTACACGTTTGCTGCTTGTACTATGTGGTTTGTGATCACTCATACAATTTGAAGTTTAGATCTGCACGTCAGATTTTGAAAACAAAAAACTAGCATTAATGGTAAGTGGTAATAAGACATAAGGTAATAACACATGCTACACTTACCCTTTGAGGAGAAGGTGGCCACCTATCTGCTTCAGGTTCCATTTATGTGAAAGCTCTCTAAAAAAGAAAAGTAGTGTTTCCCTTAATATTGATAGAAACAGTTACTCTCATGCTTATAAATGCTTATTTATTTTATGGGTCTCTATATCCAGCTTTCACATTGGAGTTCTCCTAACAGTCTACATATAACTTATCTTTCTACTATGGGAAATTTTGCAGTCAGATACATGTATCTTAACAGCTCATGCTTAACTTTTAGAAGTTATTCAGGCCTGTTGGCTATTGTAACAAAAATACCTTTGCTGATTAGTAAGGTGGCTGTAGCTCTCATAGCTACCAGCTTTAGAGATTTGCATTTATTAGTAACCTTACATAACATCTCTTAAAGTCATTTTGGAGGGAACGCTGAAATTTTTCCATCTCAGTAGTCTTCCCTTACCAACACATATTTTTTATTATGTTTTGGTTTGGTTATACGCTTTCTGTTCTTTGAGGTTATGGTCATCCAGTTGCTGTTTCTTTTCTGAAAACCTAAACCACACTGTAATACAGTTACACAAGTCCAAAAAGTACAACAGGAAAAGGTGAGAGACTAGGAACTGCATAGTAACTTTGTACAGACTTAACTCAAGTGTTTTGGCTTATGACTAGTCTTTAGCATATCCTGTTAAAACAAACAAACAAGCCTGTGTTGTATACAAAGGTGGTTTAAAAAATCCCTTTATAGTAGTATTTTCCAGTTGCACACTTCTAAATACGAGCAATGGATGTTAACTACAGTACACTTGCCAGAAAACGTAATCCCACACTAACTCAAGATGACATCAAACAGCCATACATTTGGTAAATACTCCAGCTATAAGGAAAAGATGTTTCTCTCTGAGAACGTTGAACATACTAGACTCTGAATTTTTAATAATAAGCTTTAAAGTGTTCAGCTTCAATTCTTGCCCAAGAATCAAATTCACCCACGCTGCCTGTAGTTACAGCAACTCTAATCCAAGAAAGGAAACTCTTTTACTCTTTTCTGAAAACTTGTGTGTTACTAGGAGGTATCACTTTCCTAAATACATAGGTCAGCCACTAAAGAGGAAGGGAAGATCGTTAGACATTAGGTATTATGGATACTTGGATGACATCTGCTGAGCCATAACACTTAAAAACGTGGAAAAGGAAACCAGTCAAACAGCCAAACTAAGTGAACTGTGAAAGCCTGACCTGTCAATCCGCTAGGCCCAACTATTCTCGCATTAGAGGAACAAACGCAGAATGAGTTTGTCAACTTCTGTGGCAAGTTGGGGGTCATTCTGTAATCTTAATGAACGCTTCTGGCCCCCTCTCCTAAAACGAAGGATGCTTTTATTGTACTACAATAAGGAATTGGAATCAACATCTCAAGCCCCCTTCTTGTCTGCTTTGGAGCTTCATGAATCTTTTAAATCAGCTAAGCTAGCCCTGGCTGCTACAAGTAATAACCTTCACCTCCCTGTGCCAGCCCAAGGATGCATGCTGCCATTAATAAGAAAGGCAGTTGATCCAGTAGAAAATTGCACAGGCTGGTACATGTAAAGACAACCCTTTCAGCCAGATCATTTCCCCAACCCAGTTCATGATGTAACTACTCACATGCTGTGTTGGTGCAAGGATGGGGGTAACACTGAGGAAGGAATGAGCAACTACTAGCAGGTAGGATTGCTTCTTTCAGCAGAAGCATCAGCTTATTTTTCAAATTGCTAAACAACTGGCCTACAAGAAGAAAATCCTTGCTTACACTGGATAGAAAGCAGAACTGTGAAAACACACACACACTATATCACTACTCATGAATTAAAGCACCATCTTCAGCAGTATTTAGAAACATGACTATCCAGTCACGCTCAGAGGAAAGTGCATTCCCAAGAATTTCAGTTACCTATGAGACAAAGTTGATCAAAAAGCTTAAGTACATACCACGTATAGTTTAAGCATGAATACTGTAATGCTTATGACAGCTGCCAGAACCTGCGAGGACTTTCTTTCGTTAGTATGTACGCGTGCTCTGTTGTCTTCCTGATTCAGCCTGCCCAAACTTCTTATTTTTAAGGACAGGTCAATTTCCAGTTCCCCTAAGTACTTAGCGTCCACCCACACATTAAGAATTCAGTCACTTGTCTCCTCTCAAACCTGATCTGCTTCTCAGGCCCTCTGAGCCATTCAAATTTCAGCTCAGAAAACCAGCCTCAAAACCTAAACACTTGTCTGCCTTCCTAAAATCCTTTCCGAGAAAGGTCTTTACCAGCCTCAGTGTTTGCCTTGCAACTGTTAAGTATCTCCTCCTAACTTCGTGATTATCTCAGAATCAACTTGCATTTCACTAAAGTTTTTGTGACTTTATATAATAAAATCTCTCACATAAGTACGCTGTTTACACTTAAAATAGATATAACAAAACTGACAATATATATTACTACAGTATCAACCACTACTGTCAGCTCTTGACCATTATAAAATGAAACACTGAGGAAAGTCTTCAAACAAAAAGGCTCACACTTACGTCTAAAAGTAGAAAAACATCACAATGTTTTGCCAGAATCCTGGAATTATCGTTCAGCAAAGCGGAGTCACAAATCAAAATAAAATGATTATTACTAGACTGCTATAGCGTAAGATGGGCACAGTGAAGTAGAATGGTGAATTCCTCTTTAAATGTAGTCACTCATATTTTTAGTTGGACCCCCTTTATTATTATCAGACTACTAACAACGTACACATAGCTGTTGGTAAAGGAGGACAGAAGGCAAAGCTGACAGCCACATGGACTCATATTTAACATGTCTTTTAATTTAGTAACGCAGGCCATTTTATTTTCTCACCTTTCAAAGACAGTGAAAATGTTCAGCAAGATGACAGTGCTGGCTCGTTAACCAAGCTTTCTGTATTTAGAATAATGAAACCAGGACTTTTTACTTTAGATATGATATCTGTTAGTACCACACAACATAAACACAATATGGACAAAAACAAACTAATATACTTATGAGTTCTTTCACGCCAGTAGAATTGTACTGAATACTAACTTCCAACGTTATTTCTAACCTCAGACTGCTAGGTAGACATACCCAACATACAGGTTACTAGTTACAATTGCTAAGACAACCATACTGTTCTGAAACCACCTATTCAGCACCTGACTGCTCTAAACAATTCAAGCTTTTCAAACAACCTCACATTTCTAATGCTTTGAACGTAAGTCAACAACTGATAAGTGTGTCAGAAGCCGTAAAAAAACCCAAAAACATGCAATACCTTGGCAAAGGTGTAAATTCACTGATGATGCCTTCTGTTCCAAGGGTTATGCCCTGAACAATAAAAGTGCTGCCCATTCCTTTCCAAAGAGCTCTTGGACCCTACGTTTTGAGATATGCAATTAGAATCTAGCAAAATGAAAACAATCTTTTCTTGTTTTTGTAAAATTTCAGCAAATCCCAGCTACCTAGGGTTACAAATATAACTTTAGATTTCAGTATTCCTAAATTCAGAAGACAATTAACTTCTCTCAACTCTGAGGACATTTTTATGTTATTACATAATTTCAAATAGTTGTCATTAATTTAGAGACCTGTATCTCTGTGTTGATACTTTGTACCATAAATCTAACACCATTTCCAACAGACAAAATGAGTTTGAGATATTAAAGTATGGCTGTAAGAAATCCAGAAGCTCTATTCCCACTATTTTCTTATCTTGAGTTTCAGGATTTTTTTTTGCCTCCAAGAACTATGCAGGGAATTGGAAATTCATGCACTACTGTCTTAGGAAGTAGTCATTTAACTCTGGATAATCTCTTTACCTGCAAAAAAAATTTTTTTTTTTTTTAAAGATCTTAATGAAAGATATTAATTTTTGAGAACTTTGTTTTCTAATATCTACAACCTTTCCTCAGTAGATATTAAGCTTGATAAAATAATTTTACAGTCATCTTTTTGAAACATTTCTATAATAAAAATAACACCCACTTATAATACCCATGCTTTTTAACTACCAATTGCATGAAGTTAAAGACACTGCAGTATACATGTGCTCTAGTAACCTCCACTGCACAGATACAGCCTGACACCAAATACTGACCTGTGTCTTATTGATGCTGTACATAATATTGACAATAGTGAATGGAGTGAGATGATAGTTCCGAGCATGATAATTCACCTGTTAAAAACATAAAATTATAGTGTTTTATACATCCTTGCAGATGGTACAACTCTGAAGGAAAAAGCATTTGCAAAATAAGGACTTTTTTTTTTAAGCTCTGTAAAGATCAGCCAAAGTGACCAAAACATTAATAAGTTCTCCACTGAAGTTTAAGCAAACACAGGCAGAACTTGTTTACATTTTAAGCATACAAACACGTACAACAAAAAAGCATTAAACAAAAAATATGAGAGAGAAAGCATCTGAAAGCTGTTCCACAGATCCCGAGGCACTTATTTGCCATAGTTTATTTTCCATTATCCACATGAAAAAGAAAAGAAGGCTGAAAGTAAATTAAAATTCAAAATGGAAAATGTGTATGCTACAAATAAAGACATACCACCTAGCTGTGTCTTTTTAAAAATCGTACAGCTTTCTTATGAAAGCACATAGAAATAGAACTGAACAGAGGAGATCTGTCGGGGAGAAGTAATATAAAAGATATACCTGACACTGACGACGCAGGACAATGCAAGGATGTGCCAACACATTTTCTGTAAATAGGCTTTAAAAGAAAAGTGTATTTAAAAGCACTGGAAGTAACTGTAAATTTTTTTTAAAATGCTTGTTACTTTTCTCTATCTAACAACATTAGATCAGTGTTTGGAAAAACTATACATTAGTTTTATACCTAATGAAAGAATGAAGCATCTGAGAGGCCTGCCACGTAGCCTGCCAATAATACAAATGGACAAGTATTAAAAAAAAAAAAAAAAAAGACACACACATTCACTAAGAAAAAGCCCTTGGCTTTATATGCACTTTTTTCATAGGCAAAACAAAGTACTAAAATTCTTAAACCCTCTCTCCTCAAAATATGAGGAAACAAAACCAGGACAGAGCCAGGATTAGGAGGATTATTTTCCAGTTTTATGTTAATCCTACATACCACACATTATTAATCAAGACCTTCCCTAGTAAGACTAGAGGATTGGTACTAACAGCTGGTTTGAAATTTTTCAGCAATACAGTTTTCATCAGAAAACGCTACTGGCTGAAACCAACTCCTCCCCTGGTCCCAAGAGTGTTTCAGTGAAACTTTCAGAGGAAAGTTATGTTAGTTCTAAAACAGGATTTGTGGTCACAGCCATGTAGAGAAACTCATTTCATCCCAAAGCATCCAAGTGAGCACTTATCTGAATGTGGTTCAAATCTGTGACCCGGATTAGAAAAAGCAAAACCTCCAGATTCTGTCTCAAGCATCCCAGGTAACAGTTCTGACTCCCAACCTACTGGGGCATCTGCGGTAGCTCTCTTACTGGAGAGATTTTACTCAGGATAAACAAATATTAATTGGAATAGAAAAAGTATTAAGGCTGCAGTTTCACAAACTGCTGAGCTAATTAGTAGTTTGCTGCTACAGAAAGGGGTGAAGCTTCCTCTGTATTCCAGCTCTCTTACCTAATAAGCTGTTCTTATAGCTAATTTCCCCCTTCAGCCCTGTTTTAATAAATACAGCATGCTCATCGGGAGGTCTGAACAAGCAGCAGAGCCAGTGCAAGGGAAGCAGTAGGTACAGGGGGGTGGGCAGTTTCATGAGACGCGATGATCAAATTTAAGCAGCTCATTACTTGCTGAAAGCAGCCATTCCTATTCTTTATCCCTTCCCTCCCTGGCCTCCCACCCTTAGCTGGTCTCTGTTGCCTCGAACTGCTAGTCAACGCCCAGGTAAATTCACCTGACTCATTGAAACAGCAAAAAAACATCCAGCACCTTCACTGACTCTGCCTTCTGTTCTAGTGAGTCATATCGGTTCACAGACTCTCTGCTAGGCATCACGGGTGATGGCAATGGGATAAGGAGGAGGACAGTGTTATGGCTGCAGGCCAAGTAAGAGATCCTCCTCTTTAAACAGTAGTACACCTCAACTGTGCATGAAACTGAAGCTTTAGTTTCCCATGTTGTGCCAACTGGACAAATGCCACAAGTACTCTGATGTTCTGAAGGGAGAAGCACTTTTCTCCGAGAAGTCTCACATTCAGGTCAACAAGGAATAAAACGATAACAACAAAAAGCAGTCTACTGCTTTCTCAAAAAATAGTATCAGTAATTAGAATCATCATAAATAAAGAATAAAATAAACTACACCACCAAAAAACTATACCAATAAAAAATCTCGACCACTTTGCCACATCAAGATTACTGTTCCAGAATACTTTGCTATAAAACTTAAAGTCTTTATTACCTTCTTAGGAAGATTCATATTACCCCAAAAGACTAGCTGCAGCAGCAAATGTGGAAGCAATTTTCTTATGCTATTTTCAGATTGCTGTGACAGGGAAACCTGTTTCTTATATTCACTGCTGATGGAGTAATTTTCAGAGAGAACACTTCAGTTAAAGAAAGAAGAACAGAAACCTACATTGCTTTTAGGTAGTAGGTTTCTACATGCACTTCAGCTGCATAGCCTACTGACATAAAAACACAAGATAAAAATGCATATAAGGTTCATAAAAGACAACTACAGCTTTACTGCCACAATCACTGAAAAATACTATACAACTCTTACCTTGCGAGGCCAATACCAAAGCCTGCAAATCTGTTCAATTGCTCTGAAAGAAATGAAAATAGATTATATAGCAGTGATAACCACAAAGGGCAGAAAAACGCCGTACAGACCATCTGAACAATCAATTTTATAGTGTACTTGCTTCAGAAAATTACAAGCGCTAAACCACAACATTTATGTCAACTCAGCAAGAGAAGATATTAAAAAAGTGTTCACTGAGGTATACTTGCAGTTTGGATCATATCCAAGTGTGTGCATACTTTTGCAAGTACATGAAACATTTTACTTACAATGAAATGTCAGCTATAGAAGAAGTGAGACAAAGCGAACAATTACAATAAAACACCATCTTTAGGTACCTAACAAAGCTAACCCAAATCAACAACTGAAAGACTAGTAGTTTGCAACAATTCTGAAAAGCAAACGCATGCATCTAAGGAGAAATTAATTTAAAGTCAAAGATGGCAAAAAGAGAGAAACTTAAGGGAGGGTAACACAAAACGCCATCAATGACATAACAGTGGGCATCAATATGATGCGAGTTTTAAAATCAGCTGTTTGCCTCCATTTCTTTGCAAAACCTTTACTAGAGAACCAAAAAAACGGCAACATGAAAATGGGTTCAGATCTCTATTATCTGTCACCAGATAGATAGATATTTGTATGTTAGGAATTACTCAGAAGACTTTTTTTAAGTGTCAAAATTATAAACTGAAAATTAAGGCTCAGTCCTGTAAGTGACTGGAGCAAGCGTACTGTGTACATGGAGAATCTCAGTAACTACAGTGGAGCTCCATGTGGACAGGACAGCTCTCCTCAGAGGGATGAAAACACACTTCCCTCCCCCCCTCCCCCCACCAGCAGGGGACAGGACTCAATGATATAGGAAATCCTTATTAGCTCACTAAAATGCAGAATCAACATCCTGCATGAGTAGTCAGGACAAAAAGAGTTAAAGCCTTAGCATCTAAGAACATTCTAGCAGTGCTTTGATGGATAAATTAAAGGTGGTACACAGGCTCCTGTAAGACAAAGACCTAAAAACAGTGTTACAGATTTAAAAAAAAAAAAAACCAAAACCCAATAACTATAAATGTAACTTAATTGGTCTTTTATAAAAGGTTGGTACACAAGTGTACATAAACTCAGGCCTCTGTATTCTGCTTCAGTACTTCTGATGTAGTGAGTTTCTCTTAATTCATCTCAACTTCCCAGAGATCTAAAACAGTGCTGTGCCGAGCAGCGTTTCAGCTCCATTTCCCAACGGTAACTGGGGAAGTTTTTTTTTGTTGCTTCCTCAGCTTCTACCAACTTGACGTTTCCTTCGCTGTCACGCGCCAAAGTTGTTTTTACTGTGGCAGCTCGTGCTCTAGCAACTACTTCAACAAGAGAGCCAACAGCCAGGAGGCACAAGGTCAGGAACATCAGCACTGACTACACCGCAAAAGAAAACGTTGCCTCTATAAAATACATTGTGACACCTGAAGGTATTTTGACCTTGCAAAACACCAAGGGTGAAGTATTTCTCCAGGAGGTCAGAGTCTACAGGGGTGATAAGGAGCTGACCGTGCGCTGCTGGACAGATGGCGCAGGGTGCCTTCTGGCACCTTCGACCACCTCAGCGCCTTACTGTG